TTTTTTTTTTTTTAAGCATTCTTCTTCTACCATAATATAGTTCAAATATTCTACTCAACCTTTTGTATCTTGCTTCTGACTACTCTTGGTATTCTATACTTTACATTTTTTGCTCTTGATATTTCTTGTTTTCTATCCTTTGTTCTTGATTTTCTTACCTTCTTTCTCTTGATTCCACTCTCTATTTGGATTCCTTTCATTGAGAGTTTTCTCAACTTACTTGGTGGTTGTTGTACTATTTCGATTTTATTTAAGCTGCCTCAATTCAAGATCGTTTTTGTACGGTCTTTTAGGCTTATAGATTAAAGTTATTTGATCTTAAAGTTAAAAAAAAGCAAACCCTAATTTTAATTCCGAAAATCGGAGCATATGTTACATATTTACATGTCGTCAATTCACAATTGTTAAAACGTTATATCTAATAGTGGATTACGCTACAGATTTCAGTATAATAATTTCAAGCGGGTAGGTTAAACAAGTGCAAATTCAAATGTAACAATAATATAATTTAAAGACAAGTGTATTAAAAAAGAAGCAAAAGAATATCGGAAAAGTAATTTTATTTTCTTAAAAAGGTATTATTTTATAAATTAAACATGAATGAAGTTACAATTCTTAATTGCTTGCCTAAATATGTGGTTATAATTTAAATGTTTCATTTATGTACTATCCTGCAAACATTGGTTATAACAATAAAAAAATAACTATAATATAAAAAATAACAATATAGATGTGGATATTTACATAATGAGCATAATAAAATGTTGAAAAAATATCTATTAAATGTTTGTTTTTTTAAAAAAAAAATCTACAAAACTTGGTTCATTACACTACAATAGCCACCAGAACACTTATATCATCTTTTTTTCCACCTTGATAGTATAATCCTTCTTGCATAGCACGACCTTGAAAAGGGCTTACATGATTAATATCTTCACTAACATTTTTAGCACGCCATGCAAGTGCATCACTAATTACTTGAGGATCGACTTCTAAACCACCTTGTTGTGAATGAGTAAATTTGGTAATTTCTTCAAGTATATCTTCTTCATATAAATTATCAAAGATACCATCAGACCCTATAACCACCACATCACCTTTTTGAATGTTAACCTTAAATTCTTGTGAATCTTTGGGTTTATCACAAGAATAAATACCTAGCTGAAAGGGATAATTAAAGCTGTGTTGCTGTTCTTCATTTCTAAATATTACACTATTATGACGAATAATACATATTCCACAATCACCAATGTTTGTTATTCGAAGTTCATCATCTCGTAAAACTGCTATTAGTGCTGTCGAAGAACCAACGACTCTCTAATATAAAATGAATTTAATAAATAAATGATAAAAATAAGTACTTGTTATTTGGTGATAACTAGAACAATGTTGTCACTGGAAGACCACTAGGAAGGTTACTGGAAGTAAAATCAAAAGTGCCACTGGAACTTTAAGTTCTAGTAATACTATTGATTTTACTGCCAGTGGCCTTTCAGTGACAACACTGAACTAGAATACTGTGCTTATGACGTGACTGAAAGCCTAGAGATTGGAACCAATGATTGTAATTCCATTTTAAATTCAGGTTAACCCGGTTTTAATATTAAATAGGATTAACATTATAATTCGGTTGTAAAACTCAGATAAACCAAAAAAATTAACCGACTTCCAGTTACATATAAATCTAAATCGGGTTTGAGTTTACAACCAGTTCCAACCTCTACGAAGTCCACGTCATAACGCGGTCTTCGCTTGAAGAAATCAACATGCCGGATAAAGGAAATTATTTTTTATGTCCTAATCTTAAACTTGAAGATATCTTAACAACAATCTAATCAAATTCATTTAATTCTACAAAAATTTTAATGGTTGTCAAGACATCACTAGTTTTAAAAAATTTAACTGTAGTAAACCAAGATATATCGAAACTTTTTTGCCGAGATATCTTTGCTCGAATGTTTAAAATTATGGGATATAAAAAATACTTTTCTCAATTCGCTTATTATAGTTATTATATGTTTTTCACGGTTGATGATTCAATCGCGACACGTAAAATGAACCCACAGAGAGTAGTTCATTTTACGAAAAACTATTATAAAAAAATTTACCTCTAATGTACAATCACGTATACTCTGTTCATAGCTTGCCTGCATAATCTTCGTTGGATTAACATCCTTAATATTATCATGTTTTTCAAGCTCTGTATACGCATAATGCATCAACTTTCGGGAATACAAGGCTGAGTTTGCTAAAAATTTATCAGAATCGACATTGCGCCAACTACCAACACCATCCGCAACACCTAAGGAATCATGTCGCCTGAAAAAACTATCTTCTCCGCAACAAACACTAAAATATTGTTTGTCTTTAGCGGTGGATACAAATTTGTTGGTATGCTTGGCTATACCAGAAGCACCGTGTATTAATGCCAAAGAATCCAAAGAATTTTGTGGTGTCGAAAAAGTTTTATCAGAATTTTGTGATGACGAAAAAGGGTTATCAAAAAAGCTTAAAACAGAATGTGAGGATGGTAAGTGTTTAATTGAAGAAACTTCTTGGTAGTTAGTATGCTTAGATGATTGGGGTTTTAACGTTTTCTTCGATGAATGAAAAGAACGATAAACGGTATATGAATAGGGAAATAAAGGAGATTTGGTTGAACGTGCGATCAACGCATTAATATGAGGAGGAAAGGCTGACGCGGTAAGAAAAGAACTTGAAGTATATAGTTGACGTTTTAAAGTTATTTCTCTTGGCCCAAATGACGGACAAAAATGTTTTGGAAGTAATTTAGAGAATTTCATTAATTTTTGTATATTGCGAATTAAGCAGAAAAAAATTGTTATCGCGTTTAAAGTCTTTTTGAAATGTATTTATTATATTTATCAAATAATCACAAAAGTAAATATTATTATACAGTAATAATAAAATACGAAGAAGGTAACTATTTATATATCTTATCTTTTGATCAGACAAAAAAGACAAATGCTTTTTGTTTTATCCACCATTTACTTTTATCTATCCAATCATAGACCTGAAATGTGTTACTTGAAATTTCATTGGTTTTGTTTATCATAAATGTGTGCGTTATCTGATATCAATACAAAAAAAAACTGATAAACTGATAAATACGTAACACACATTTTCAATCCCAAAATAGAACTTCTTATGTTATCGGATGTATACGTACTAATTTTGGTTTTTATAACAGTTTAGAATTTTATTTAATGAGAATGTACATCTACACCTATTTCAGTATACTACGCCACTAGATGTTTTATTTCACGATATCTTGTATTACTGAAAGTATATAGTTATCTATTTTATTTCAATTCTTTTACTTCATTTAGCAGTACATTACTTCGTATCTTACTGTTGGATAGTCGAGTCATTGTGCAAAGCAAATTTTAATGCATGCATAGCAATAAAAATTAAAGCCAAATTGAACCATATCGATATATAATATACAGATATAAATTTATTGATTCTCGTAAAATGGGTACGTAAGCATACGTACGTATTAGTATATATATAGTAAATATGTACCAGATGGTAATAGACCAAAGTTTGGAACCGGTGTCATTTTTACATGTCGAAACCGGGTTTAATAGTTTTGACATATGAAAAGTAAAGTCGGTTCCAAACTCCGAGTCAATTTCGTGCTTGTTTGAGTCAGGAGTGACGGAAAGGGAAACCCGTAAATTGAAATCATCGTTTACCTTATCGGATTCAACCACTGAAAATTAATCCCACAACGATTAAATATGATCAAATATCGATACGCTCGTGATGTGCTTTGGTAATCAACAAGAAGAGAACATCTTTTACGAAGAAATTATGATCTAGCAGCTCTTTAAAATGAAAATCCGATAAGGTGAAAGTTAATGAGTCAATTTATGGGATTTTCGCATTTTTACAAAATTTGTAACTATTGTTTTATGCTGTTAGAAGCCTTACCAATTTTTTTTAATATTATAAAACGCACCAATTAAACGTGGAGATAGAATTATTAAAAGTTCACTGTTAATTTTGTAAAACTTATCAAAAGAACAAAGCTTAAGATTTAGTGCAAATCTTTAGTTTGTAATTACAAATTTAATTATCATACATGGTAAGTATTTCCAATTAAATTTATCTACAATAGAAAATAATTTTTTCTGATGTTGTGAGGCTGAAAATTGAGTTCTATTAAAATCCACTTATACTACGTATAAACACTGAATCCTAACCTAACTATAAAGATAATGAATATTGCACTAGTACAATTATTTATATTTCGTCTATCTGTAACCAAGTTTATCTAACAAATATATTGTATGTGTGAATGCGCAGTCTTAAGTACTTTTTCAAGAACCCTTAAAGGGATTACTTATTGGGAAATGGGAAGACAGAATTTCTTAAACTTTTGAAGGTTTATTATCGACAGCACATTATTTTTCTTATTATTAGATGTAGTAACTAAATTGTTGACACGGGAAAAGAGCATTACTAAATAACTTATATTATTATAATATGTTGATCTGAGCTGTAAAAACCTACTTTAAAATTATTTACCTAAATATCATTGTCATAATATACCTTATTTATTTCTGGGAGATTAGAAATAACAAGTTCCCAATGTAAATACTGTGAGCTATAGCTCCTGACATTTCTTTCTGTTCTTATAAGATTTATTGATCCATTTCTTTTAAATAGTAGAATTATAAGATTTTGTTAATATAACAATCAAATCAGTAAATTTCCATTAGATCGACTAATATTAATTTATACAGCAATATAAACAATTTATTCTTTATTAATGTTAAAATAAGATGCAAAATTGAATTAAAGCATTTAACTGAAAAAAAGACTCAAAACAATTAAATGTATATGAACTACATAGCAAATAAGACATGAATATAACGCATAATATCCCTCTCCCAATAACCTTGGAGTATGATATTTCAATTTAAACACTATTGTTATCCCATTTATCAAAATATAGTAGGACTTAAAAAGGATCAGACAGTGTTATAAGAATGATGTGCTCTAGAATTAATATGAGTTTTGGATAGATCATTCACTTTACCACAAGTTAAGCAACAGAACAGCAAAGAAATAAATGCAATAACGGTAGTTACTATCCAAATTGAAGGTAAAATTATAGTTTGATAGAATGGTGCTTTATAAACCGTGGCTTGTAAAACTGTATCTTCAAGTCCAAATTGAAAATCTACGTTATATTTCTTTCCAACCAAAGAATAAGAGAAGTAGTCATCAGAATTGGTTACTGGTGCCTTCCAGGAAATGGTGAACACGCTTGAGCTATCATCATTTACAATAAAAGTGGCGAGGCCTTGCATCTTATAAGATGTAATGCTAGAAAACGCTTGTGATTTCTTATTTGCAAGAGGTTCAGTTTGTGGTTCACAACTTATATTATAATCATTAACCCATTCCCCGTTTTCAAGATTGGCAACGGCCAAAGTAATATCATAGCCACTCTTATTATTGAGGACAATCGTCACACAACGTTTGTCGTGTTGAGAAGAAAGTCTATGTGACAGGAGAGGACAACAGTAAAGATTGGGATCTTTTCCATCTCGACAAAAAAATGTACCGATATCATCTTTCTCAATTAAAGCATCTTCACTCAAATAAGTAGAACAAACAAAAGTTAATGATAGTGCCAGGATAATAATAGTAAAGGAAAAAGATTTTAAGAACATTATGAGAAAGAGTTTTTTAATTTTGAAAAGATCTGATTGATAATATATAGAGAATATCGGATCTCAAAATGATCATTTAAGTAGGGGACGATGATTTTCTGCGGGGAATAAAACAAAAATTTGCGTGTAGTTAATTAAAATTCTGTAATGTGATGTGATGTGTTTTTAGCATATCCTGTGAAAATATGTGATAAAAAATATTGATTTCTGTGCAATTCTGTGCTAGTTTAGTACCGATTGTGTAATTTCATGTGCTAAAAAAACATAGTGTAAATATATTTTATTTATTTAAAAAACTCAAGTTAGTCACCGTTAAAATATAACATACTTAATTGCTTTAAAGAAAGCAAAAGATTCTGATGATCACTATTTAAAGGATTATTATGCATAGAAAAGCTGTGTCCTACACTACGGCTAGAAATTGGAAATCATATATAATTTTGTGCAATATTTGATAAAACTGGTAAAATTACTTGTATTTTCTACTTAATAATTATGAAGGTTAATTTCTTCAAAAAATTCATTTACAAATTCACAATAAATTGCCTATTTTTGTAAAAACTTATATATATAATGAATTATTAAGCTTAGTAATTAGTAAATATATATCTATATCTATATATATATCAATATTTTATAATGTCAAATTATAATACTTTATTTAATTAATGTCAGATTAATACATGAAAGTTATTACATTATATTTATGTTACTATATTACTATATAGACATTCAATATGATATTATATCTACATTCTCTAAATTAAGATTAGTACTATAGTATTTCAATTATTGTTACTAATTTTTTATATTTTTTTGATATTAGAAAATCTCTTTGATCTTTTGACTTTATTAACACTTTCATTAGGTACATGTTCACATAGAACTATTACAAAAAAAACATATAATTGGTTATATATGTAATTTTTCTATATTAACTATTTAAAGAGTCTGCTTAAAGGTTTTTTACTATTTGTTATATCTAATATCTTAGTTTGGATGTTTTATTTTAAACTTTCTGATTTTGTAATTTTTTATCAAGTCTTCTAAAATTTAAATTTTCATTTTAACTTTAAAATTAATTTATTCTTAAGGTAAATCTTTTAGAATTTTTTGTATGTTTATTTATAATTAATTTAGTTTTATTATAATTAGAACTAATACTTACAAATAAGATTAATCATTAAACTGCATTTATCTTTGTAAAGTTTATTTAAACCTTAGTACTTATATTTTTAACATTTTTTTTATTATCTCTTACTAACTATTACTCAAAACTGATAAGACTTCTCAGACTACCAATTCAGATAAACTGATATATTATACTTATATATATATATTTTTTAATAATTTTAGTAACCTAATTGGTATATATATTTTTCTTATATATCTATTGTCTGATTTATTTGTTTATTTTTTTGTAGATGTTTTATGAGTTTCTATCAGTTTAATAGCATTGTTAAAAGTTTATACTACCTCTTTACTCAGGATTTTTAAGTAGGCTTTCATTATCTTAGTTTTTTAATTTTTTATATTAGTGTAGTATTTCTAAATTTAGTTCAGTTTAGATTTATAAATCATGTTTATTGAATCTGAACTGAATTTCAAATTTTGCAGATTATTAAACCTGAACCTGAACTGAACTTAAAATTTATAAACTTGAACTAAATTTAAACTAAATCTGAACTTAAACTTTGATTTAGTTTAGGTTTAGTTTAAAGTTTATGAATATGTTTAGGTTTAATATTATATATATATATTTTTATATATAAAACAAATTTATTTAAATAATAAAGATAGAATTAATTAATAAAATTTTAAAAAACAATATTTTTTATAATTTTATTAATAAAATTATAAAATTTGTTATAATTCTTGAAATTTTACTAATTAATCCTATTTTTATTCTTTAAGTAACTTTGTTCTATATATAAAAATACATTATATTAGTATATATTTATTATATAATTTTTAGTTCTAAAAAAAAATACTTAATTTTGAATTTTTAATAAAAAAATTTAAAATTAGTATTTCTAAATTCAGTTTAGTTTAGTTTAAGTTATAAATCAAGTTTATTGAATCTAAACTAAACTTTAAGTTTTGCAAATTATTAAATCTAAACCTGAACTGAACTTTAAATTTTGCAGATTATTAAACCTAAACCTGAACTGAACTTAAATTTTATAAACTTGAATTGAATCTGAACTTGAATTAAAAGTTTAATACTGAACCTGAACTAAATTTTTTTTTAAAAAAAGTTTAAGTTCAATTTAGTATTGAACTAAACCTGAACTTAAACTTAACCAAAGTTCAGTTCAGTTTAGATTCATAAGAACACTAGTTTAGTGATCTTATTATAAATTTGTATTAAATCAAACACTTCTACATATTAATGAACAAATCTATGAACTAATTTGGAAACTATACGCATTGAATTTTCTAATTGGAAAAAACATAACCAAATTCCACCAAGATATCAAAATAATACTAGTAGCACTGATATACAACATTCAAATCATAGAGTCTCCAAACAACATTGTCAAGTTTACACATACTCATGCCTATGTGACATTGCAGATTAACTTTATTTACAATCCAATATATGTCCACCAATTGGTCAAGCAATTAGAAAAATCAACATTTGGTCAATTCTCTGAATTAAATACAATATTTCTTCTAACTATATACTAACACTCTAAATCTAAATAGGCCTTGATCACCATAGTCAGTTTAGGTCACAAATAAACTAGTCTGAGCTCTCATTCTTGTATATAATTTTTATTTTGTTACAAACAACCTTAGTTTATTTTAGTACTTCTGTACTAAAATATACAGTTAAAATTATTAATAAAGATATGAGCAAGGCCTCATCCTAATACCAAAAAAAAAAAATTTGTATTAAAGTCTTATATAACATTAGTTTTTTATATTTTTTTTTTTTTTTTTTGAAGTTAAAGTTTTGCTCATATTTTTATTAATTTATTAAAGATGCCTTCAGAAGCTTCTCTAAATATAAATTACAAAATCTATTTCAATTACAAATTTGTTATAAGAGTAAAGCTCAGACTATAAAGAGAAACTAACTGTTATCTATCTAATTTATCTGCAATTTAAACCTACTAGAGTGATTAAAACTCATCTAAATTTGATAATATAAAATGTTGTTTGTAAAGTAACTGTAAAGTATTCAATAATCAAGCTATAAATTAATTTTATATAGAGCATAACCAAGTAGTGGGCAAGTATTTGGATCAATGTGTTTTAAGCTTAATAGTCCACATAGATTGCAAGTTGTACTATGTAATTAATGCCTATTAATATGATATATATTATTGTGATTAATTTATGTAGATCTTTTTTGTTGATTTTTGATATATTATAGAATGTTGCTATCCTTTTTCTATTGTACCAGTTTTGTACAATATGGTTTTCATATTTGTTCATAAACTTTTTGAGATAGCTTATATAGAAGTTTTGTAGTGATATTTTTTGCTTCTATTTGTAATTGAATAAATAGTCTAATTGATGAAATAAGGCTAGTAGACACATATCTTTATAATGTTGTATAAATGTTAGTTTGTTGTAGAATTAATTTTTTTTTTGATATTAAGATGACCTCTTTGGTCTTTTGACTTTTATTAATCATTTATCAGTATTGTAGTTCAATGAACTATTACAGGAGAGTGTACAATTGGCTACATGTATAACTTTTCTATATTACCTATTTAAGGAGTTCATCCAAAGGTTCCCTACTAATTGCTGTACCTAACACTCCTGCTTAGGTGTTCTACTTTAAACTCTTTGAACCTGTAACTTGTATTAACATCACTGAGTTATCCCAGATGCCCAGATCATTGTCTCAACCTTAGGACTAATTTATCCTCAAGATAAACTCCTCAGAGCCTTCTGTACCTATTTTTACAGCTAACCTAGGTATTACTATAGCAGAACCAACACTTGCGGCCAGAGCTGATCATTAAACTGCTATGCTCTTATAAAGTTTACACAAACGCTAGCATCTACTTTACAGCATATCTGAAATACTTTAGTATACTCCTGCTGGTTCACCAAACTCCTAATCTAGATAGCCCAGTAGGACTTATAACAGGTCTATTGGTATATCAGGTTGGCCTAATATCCTTTTTCTTCAGCTTGATCTGGTGGCCTAGTTGGTAGTACCCTCTACCTAGAGGTTTTTACCCATCTGGCTACTTTGACCTTGATATCTGTTTCATAAGGCTAGCCTTTACAATAGAGCCATTGAAGATCTGGCTACCTCTCTACTCAGGTCTTTTCAAATAGACTTCTTGTTACCCAATTTCAATGGATTTACATGGCCACAAGAACTTATCTAGTGTTTGCACTGCCTATTGCTGGTTTGCATTCCTTTGTGTAACTACACCTTTTCCAAAGGACAATGTCATGTGACCTGTTACATAAATGCCCTATGACCTACCAGTTATGCTGGTGTAATCACCATTACAGGTATCCTAACTCAATCGTTAGTAATAGTTGCCATAATATGAATATTACATAGGTGATTATCCAAATTTTCGCTATCAATGAAATTTGAACACCCAACCTACCACTTGAAGTGTTGACAACCTGACCATTTCACTAGGTTGCTACACCTCTTGTTGTAGAATTATGTTACTAAAAGAAAGGCTATTGTGTTATAAAAGTATTTCTTGTAGTTTATTAATTTGAGTAATAGTAATATCAGTAATATGGATAATTGTTTCTGTTATTGTTTCTTGAATAAGATTGGTAAGGAGTGTAGAGTTTGAACAAAGAATCTAATGTAATGAGTGTTCTGGTATATGATATATAATACAGCTATTGCTAGTTATTACTTCTGAGTATAAGTTGTGAAGATAGAAAAGAGTAGATAGTATGTTAAGTTGTAGTTTAATTTTAAAGGATTTACTA